CATGGGACTCTTTGCAGTGCCTCTGCTGGCTTTTCTCTTGGTCAACACTTTCATATATACAGGCTTTAGTACTATTATGTGTTTTATACTGAACAAAAGTAACACATTCACTTTTTAATCTTTAATACATGTTATTTGAAAAGAGAACACAAGATCATTCTCATAAACAGGAAGCCTGTATCATGTTCTGTAAATGGACAGTCATGGTAAAAATAAATACGTGGAGAATACAACACTGTTACTCAAGTTCAGCTAGATACTGCTGCCAGTCAAAGGCTGGGCCCCTTGGTTGAAGAGGGAGATCAACAGGTGCTACACAGGCATTAAGGAGACGCCAACTTCCAACTGAGACTTTCCCCTTGATGTAATCAACTGAAAAGGACGTAACTCCCTCCCAGTGGTACTTAACCTGTGCCTGAGTAACTCTTTAAATGGTCTCATGGACCCCTGATGCTGGTGTCCACTCTGTGGGAAACACTGCCTCAGCAGCCTTCGCCTGCTCCGAGATCCTCTGGCCAGCTGCCTGCCTGGACTTGCGCACTGCTGTCTTCCCTGTACCCACCACCTACTATACACTGGGCTGGCCAGCTCTGGGTGCCTACTTTGCTCCAGCAGGTGGGCTGGGTTCTAGGTGCTGCCATTTCGGAGAGTTAAAATTTCAGGGAGAGAAAGATTTCAGAACTAACACTTTTGAGCCTTTCCCAAGTACAAACACTGTGATAGATTGAGATACATAGTTTATCTCAATTTTTTTCACATTTCAGTCATTCATGTCCCATGTTCCTGATTTCTGTCATATCAGGATTATTCATTTACTTAGTATTTTTCTTTAAATTGATTTGCCTTTTAAAATGCACAGAATTTTATTTTAAAAGGAAATGCTGTATTGTTTCCATAAATCACAAGAGTTTGGTGTGCCAATGACATTTTTCTAACATGCATCAGTAGTGAATTATTGAAATAATAAATGTTCATCTATATAGCACCTGAAATCATTGTGCACACCATCAGTTATGCACTTGCCAGCCTCTGGGAAATACTGTAGCACCTTAGTTAATGCTCACATATCTCTGGAAAGATGGTTTATAGATAACATGGAGGCTCAAAGGTTTCCTTGCCTGAAGTCCCATAGGTTGAAAGGCTTTGGGCTGAGATTTGAATCCACAGTTGAACTTTAATGCCTCGCCTCTTTTAACAATAGTGCTTTCCAAAACACATTTCTTAAAATTCAAAGAATACTTTAAAAACAAAAATGTGTGTGGAAATCCGATGTATAAAACAGGTAAAATTGGAGTTTTAAAAATTTAAATGGGGTTGTTGAGTCCAGAACTTCCTTTTGGGAGAACTCCCTTGCCCAACTCATCCTATCATAGCCTTTGAGAACCCGTCTCAGAAGCCCAGGGCTCTGAGTAACATCATTTTAAACTCACATGACACCACTCTGTCCCTGGACTCCACTTAGTCCAGTATTCCCTGTGAGCCAAACTCCTGACAGGCAACTTCTGGGTCTATGTTATCCTTTCTGACTGGGCATCTACCTTGGACCTTGGCCATCTTGAGATCTTGAAATTTTCCATCTTGCCATATTGCCATTTTCCACTGGTGTTGTAAGCCTCACTCTAACCTAATTATTCATTCATCAAACACTAATGTCTAACCTGTACCCGGATTTTGGAGGATATGAAAGGAATTGGTGTAGTACTTTTGAGGGGTTCCTAAGACAGTGTGGGCGACTGACACACACAGACATAGCCAAATACAATAAGGGTTTGAACAGCCACTGCTCACCTGAATCTCATTATTTCCTTAGTTCCTGCCTCCTTTAGGTGCCTGGTTGCATCCTGTGTTGGGCAGAGCCTGAGATGGGGCCAGCTAAGGGACCTCCTATTGAGACGCCAGAGGTCTTGTCCTACTCACCACTTGGTTCCTGAGGCACTGTTCCCTTTAGCAACCAGTACCTGATGTAAGTCTGGCGTTAGAATCATCTCCGGCAGACCCCTAAACGCTCTCTCCAACAGGAGGACCGGTTTACAACAGTGCCAGCCTCTGCAATATGGAGCTCATGGCCTCAGCTTGCCTTCTTTCCTCATGGTGAATCTATGACCCCCCAAAGCCTAGATACAAACTCTTACTGAAGTGGGTACTCCCAAAGGGCCCTTCTCGGCCAGGAAGATGGCCGCTCCAAAAATATGGAAAGATCCTAGCAGAGTTCCAGTACATTTTAATGATTCCTAAAGCACATTCAGCTTCATAGTGCCCCCTGACCAAGCCAAGATGGCCACCTTTTTCCCTCAGTCCTGACTATGGCCCTAGTTTTCTCCAAGATGCCTCCATCTTTGGAAAGCTCTGAATGTCCCCAGCACATTATCCTTGGGGTCTCCCCTGTGCTGTGGGACCAGCTTTAAGCTAAGCTTGAGTTCCAGGAAGATTCTGTCTTAGTAGACCCTAGAATTGGGTCCATTATCAAAATCAAAGCAACACAAGTCAATTCAAGTCCAGTCAACTTGGGTCAGCTCAACTCAACTCAATGCATACTTACTGTGTATCTCTGCTTATTCTGTACAACGTGAGCCAGGCTCTAGTTCCAGAAAAGGCAGAATCCAACAGTTAACAAGAGATGATCCGTACTCTCAAGGAGTTTTCTGTTTTAAACCTAGATTCCAGATGCAGACTTTTCCTTGAGCTGAGGAACCCTTTGCACAATGAAAGAACTCCCTTTCCTGCCCTGGAGATAGACCAACCAGCAGCCTAATTTCTGGGGTCTGCTCCCCACAACCCTCAAACTACCCTCCTGGGGCTGTATGAGCTCCAGATTTCAGACTGCAGAGTCAGTCTATCCCTTACCCTTAGGATTTAGTTCATATGGGTCCTGAGTCATTCATTCACAGACCCATATTGACCGCTTACTCTGTGCCAGACACCTACACACACACCATCTCATTTAATTCTCACAGAAACCAGTGTGAATACAGAACCAGTACATGGCCAGCTAGAATTACCCCAGCCCTAATGCCAAACCCCACGTTCCTTCCATCTCATCCCACTGTCCTTTAGAGCAATCGAATAGAATCCATAATAAAGAATTGAGATCATTGAATGCTTAAACAAACAGTCTATATGGAGGGAAAGAGCAGATTAATGAATATTTTATGTAAGTCAAAATCCCACCTGACCAGTTTATTAGAATTCTTTGAGAAGTGAACTGTATAGGGAGATAAAGGGTGACTTTCACAAAAAGCCTTTGTCAAGTTTCCATCCCAAAGCCTATTAATAAAATTGATTCATTATAGAATTGGGCAGAGGTGGGTGGTAAGTAGGAGGGAGTCTATTTTTGCATGGATAGGGAACTGGCTTAGAGACAAGAAGGAGAGGGTGGAAATAAATAGGTGCTTTTTCAGACAGAGAACTAGGGTTCCCCAGGAACTGGTGCTGAGTTTGGTTTTCTACAGCACTCAGTATGCACACTCTGGGCACACTGTGCACACGTATGCAGGTCCTGCATTAAGCATGGGGGACACCCAGACAAGCCAGACTCAGCTACCCTCTGGAGGAGCCCGAGGAAGGAAGGGTTTAGTGACATCTCCATGTTCACAGAAGACAGGAAGCTCCAGAGGGGCTGAAATGCCAAGACACTGGAGACAGAACTGGAGATGGTGGCTGGGGGAGGGGGAAGAGCTCCAGACAGCAATCAGAAGACTTGAGATCTAGGATTAGCTCTGTTACTGACTTGCTGTGTGGCAATGGGCAAGTCCCTTCCCTCTCTGGGTCTTAGTGTTCTCTCTTATACAAGGAGTTGGTCTAGACAACCCATAAAGGTGTGGTGTTTTGGACAGAGGACAATGACTTGAAATAGGACTTGGTTATGAGAATGTCTCCATTTCCTGTGTCCAAAGTACCTCTGTCCTTGTACTGTGATGGGAGACCATCTCTCTCTGTCTCTCTCATTTGTGGCAGTGAGGATGAGGCAGAGAGCCATGAGGTCTGTGATGCTGGGGCTCGGAGCCCAGCCTGGAATCCCTCAGTGGCATTCGCTGTGAGTGACTCAGCATCATAAATAGCTCCCATCTGGATGAGCAGCGATATCTATAGCGATCAAGCGATCTCTATATCCACACACACTGTCTCTGTGCAAATATGTGGCTCACTGTATGCTAAATACGAGGTGGCCTGGAGACGTTCCTCCTTTTAAAAGACTATTTGGTATGAAACTCAAGACTGTTTATTTAAAGAAATAAGTTCACAACTATGCATGCTGGATTACTGGTAGTGGGTGCTGGGGAAGAGGCGATGTGGAAGAAGGGACTCTGGGTGTGATGTGAGCTTGGGGGCTACCTGGAAAAGGGGCTGAGGCTGACTGCTGCACCTTCATCCTCCTGCCAGCAGCAGGTAGGGGTAATGGACACCACACAGGAGATGTTTGGGATCTGGGGTGTGGAGTGTGCGGGAGAGTTGAACTCATCAGGGCAGAAAGCCACAGTTCAACAGAAAGAGCATAGGAACTGGGAGTGACAGGAGAGCCAAATTCTTGCTCTGCTCTGCATTGCCATTGGTTTTGGGCCCTTCGTTAATTCACTCATTCATTCATTCATCTAACACATACCAAAAGTCTACAATGTGCATAGGCCACGTGGGGATACAGGCAAGAAAAACTAGGTTGGAATTCAGGCTCAGCCACGCAGCAGCAGTATGTGAAGGTCTTTGGGCAAGCCCTTTCCCCTCTCTGTGCCTCAGTTTCCTTATCTGTAAACTGGGGATAATACCCCACCAAAGTTTTTTTGTGGGGAGCATCATTGAATAAGATAACGCATGGGAAAGTGCTTCTCTGCGGTAAACAGCTCTGAAAATGCAAACCAGTACCATTCCAGCACACTGCCCTGTGGGTCCATCTGAGGAGCATTCTTGGTGAGAGCAGAGGGGAAACACCATCCTGATGCTCCTCAGCTGGGCCCAGGGGTGGGGACCCTCTGCACACCTCCCTCAGGTGTGACCCGGGGCATTACCTTGCCTTTGCTTCCTGGCTGAGCTGGGATGCAGAGACCTTCAGTGGACAGGCAGAGCAGACAGCATGCCAGAGATCAGAGATGCACAGCTTCCTGGAGGAGAGAGGGTATAGGGGTGAGGGCAGAGAGCTTCCATGGGAGCTGGCTTCCTGAGTGGGCCCCGGGGCCCCCACTCCACCGAGGGCATACCCTTGCCCCTCCTGAGGCCACTGATGATCCCAGGATGGCACTCTGCCTGGCATCAGATGCAACCCCTGGGACCCCTCACCTGCCCTCCTGATACTATTTGCCCATCTTGCACTTGTTCAGGCAACGCTTGTCTGATACCACTGACTATATTGCTTTCTGGCTTAAATGTGATTTCACATGTCAAGGGACAGGATTCTCTGTCAGTCACATCTGGGTTTGAATTCCAGCTTTGGAGGAATCTATTACATCTCCCTGAGCCTCAGTTTCCTCATGTGTCTAATGGGGCTACTAATAGCACCCACCTCTTACATTAGAGGCCATGTAAGTGCTTGTTATTATTGTTGATGTTAACATGATGTGTGTGAAGACATCTATTGTGTGGCAGCCCCTCAAATTTTCGTTACTTTCCTCTGCTTTCTCCTAGGAGGCACCAAGCATTCTTTAAAAGGCAAAGATTGGGTCTTATATGACTGTTTCCAGAGCCTAGCACAAGGCCTGACAGGATGTGAGAGCCCAGTGAGTATTTGTTGACTGTACAATGCTGGACGAATTCGCTAGATTTGCTTTCAGTCAGAGTTAGTGAGGTTGGTGCTCCACTCCTGTTTTATAGATGGGAGCACAGCGGGGAAAATGATCTGCCTAGTTTCTCTCACCAGTATGTGCAGAACAAGATGGGAACCTGCAGTCCTCCCCATCCCCCCGCCCGCACTGCCGTCATGGCCTCTCCTGGCTGGATGCCAAGGTCTCAGCAACTGCAGTGTTTGCCTACGAGACTGAATCCAGCCAGTTGCCTACCCCTTGAGTGTTTTCTCTTCCTTCCTGCTCACCGTTAACTCAAGGAAGCAGAGATCTTGTCCCATTTGCAGAGGTGGCAACTGAGGATTTGCCCCAGATCACTCAGCTCAGAGATCGTTCAGGCGAAGCAGGGATGCCAACAGACCAGCTGAGTCAAGGCCCTTCCCATCACTGCTGGTCCTCGGGGACCACCGTGGATAACATATCACCTAACCCCTCCTTTTCAGCTGCCCCATGGCACTATCACCTCTGAACACAGTTTCCTCCACCCCTGGTCCCTCTCCTCATAGGAGTCCGGGGGTGAGGCAGGGCCTGGTATCCCAGAGCCTGGCACTTAGCAGGCCTTGATAAATAGATGTTGGGTGAGTGAACGAGTGAGGAAACAGCAGCAGGCTATGTTCTGAAGCTGGAGACATCGCGGAAAAAGGGCAGGCGTGCTCCCTACCCTCAGGGGGGTGACAATATTCAAATTTTAGAATTTCAGCTGTTTTGGGAACAGGGTTTCCAATGTTGCTGTTTTCTAGCTGGCTAGGATGGAAGTGGGGAGAGTGTGCAGCAGGTGGAGCCTGCTGACTGCCCCTCAGTGGCCTCTAAAGCAAATGGCGGCCTCTGCGCTGGATCTGGAGGCTGACCTTAGGGAAGGCCAGTAAGAAAGGTGGTATGATTAAGTGTTTAATGTCTGCCTGTTGCTGAGTCCAAAGAGCTAGCACATTGCCTGGCACAGAATAGGTACTTAACAAACTTTTGTTCAATGAATGAGCCCATTTATTCAATGGGTGGGCAGAGAGCACGTCAGAATGAATTGGGGCTTGTGGGAATCAACAGTATTCACTCTCAGAATTACTAGGGCATATGCTTGAGTGGGGCTCCACTGTCTTCAGAGTGCTGGGCACTAGTGGTGTTGGCATAAGCAACAGGGCAATGGCGGCACTTCCAGCATCTACAGCGTGCTGGCCCGTCATGTTCACAAGCTCCTGTACTCCCATTAGCCTGGTAAGGCCAAGGTCATGATCCCCATCACACAGCGGAGGGCACAGAGGCTCAGAGAAATCTTGATCTTGCACAGCTGGAACCCAGGTCTTACTCCAGGAGTGAGATATAAAATGCTCACCACCCAGTGAGGACACAAAGAGGAAAGCGAATAAAATACCGTGACTTCCCCGTTAAGGCGGGTTTGTCAGAGGTGCCTCGCTGTCAAGAGGCAGTAACGAGGGCTTCCCTGAGAAGGTGAGTCTTGAGCTGAGGCTTAGAGGACAGTTGGAGCAGAAAGGGCTTCCTAGGCAGAAGGAAGAGCAGCTGCAGAGGCCTGGAAGGAGCATGGTCCACCCAGACACCAGGAGGAACTGGGTCTGGCCAGAGCCTTGGGGGGAAAGATGCAGCTGGGAGGTTGCTGGGGCCAGTTCTGAGGGGCTTTAGTGGGGCACGGGCCTCACCCCAAGGCTGAGCGAGAGCCTCTGCAGGGCACTCCTTTGGGCTTAGTGAGCTCCTGGGGCTGGGTTGGGGATGGGGATGGGAGGAGTACGTAGCAGGGTGTGCTTGATGATGGGGACAGAGGGGAAATTAGGCTCCGCTTCTTGGCTTGGTCAGTGGGTGGTGTGGAGATGGGGTTCTGTGAGCATCAACCCTCTCAGAGACTGATCCACCCTGGGGGGCTGGAAGTCTCTCCCCTCCCCCTCCCAAGATCACTGTGGCAGGTCTTGGTCTCTGGCCAGCCCCAGCCCCAGCCCAGGCCTCCTCTGCCACCTGACTGCTCCCAAACTGTGTCCTAGCAACCTCACAGCCCTCACCTTGGCAACACCAGCTCCTGCACACTCCTCTGATTGGGCTGGAAAGGAAAGTGGGGCTGGTCTGTCTCCTGTCCACTAGACCTTCCCAGGAAACCAGCCTAGACTGCCTGCAGCCTGTGCCCCCGGCTCAGCAGGCAGAGGCTGGCCAATCAGCTGAGGGAGGTGGGTCTGGACACTGGGCAGGACTCTGGACTGGGAGCTTGAGAGCTGGGTTCTGATCCCAGTGCTGATGATTGGTCTCAATGACTTTGGACAAGTCTCTTCCCCTCCTCGGACCTCAGTTTTCCCTCGTGTAAAATAAGGAGGTTGGACCATACCAACTCTAGAATCTATTATTTTTCCAGTTTTGCTCTTTTCCATGGTTTGGGTGCACAGACTTTAGTGTCAGACTCTGGGGACTTAAATCCTGATTTGTTTGGACAAATCACTCCCCCCCCCCTCTCTGAGCCTAGACTTTTTTTCCTCTGTAAAATGAATATATCTTGTGCTATCTTTCCCAAGGGTTAAGAGAATCAGTTGAAATGATATAAATGAAAGTGCTTTATAAATGGCAACGAGCTGTGCAAGTATTTCCTGTTTCATCACATGCCCTGTGCTCAGTAATGATTTACTGAGCCCCCTCCTAAAATTTAATGAGGTGGCCATCTCAGGATCTCTTCTCCTCATCTTGGATTTTTCTTCTCACCAGAAGTCAGCATCTAACTCAGGGTTTGGTGGGCAGAGGGGCAGCATTATCATTTATTGAACATCTTCAGTGTGCCAAGAATTGATCAGTTTCTCAGGCTCTCCTGAGCTTGCCAATACCCTGGGGGTCTTGTTAAAATGCAGATTCTGATTCAGTGGGTCTGGGATGCAACCGAGATGGTGCTTATCTAATGACCTCCCAGAGGATATGCTGATGTTACCGGTCTGCGGACCACACTTTGAGTAGCTGTGAGCTACAGGACTTTAAATATTACCTTATTGAATCCTGGATCTTTTTAGCCCCAGGGTCTCAGATGGGGAAACTGAGGCTTGAGAGGCAGTGCACCTTACTCAGCGTCCCAAGCATACAAGGGGTTGGTTTGAACATAGACACAGTTGACATTACGCAGTGACTGAGGTTTCAGGCCACACATCACCACCTGGCTGTGTGTCCCTGCTCAGCTTTTGTCTCTACAACCAAGGCAGACAATGGTCTCCCGGGCTCCCGCTAGGAATTCTTTCTTATTTTCAGTTCGTCCTAAGCAGACCAGCTCTGGATGCTTGGGTGCCAGTGGGAACAGGGCCCTGGCCTGGGAACGCCCCTGCAGTTGAATGAAAATCTCAGGAATATGATTAGATCCTGCACGTATATAACTCACTCCATTTGCCTTACCCTCAACCTGGCTCTTTTGGAATTGTCTCTTTGAAATTCTTGATACTTTATTCATCATTAACTTTTCTGCATTAATTTTCTTTTAAAAAATATTGTTCAAAATGTTATTTATCCTGATGACTGAGTTTTTATTTTTAGGCCCACCTTACATTCTGCACCTGAGGCGGGCACCTCCCTTCCCCACCTCGCCCCAGTTCCAGCCAGCCTGGTGTCTTCTCCCTCGCCCTCCCACCTCACAGCATTAGAATGCTGCCCATAAGTCACCGTGGGGCCCACCCGGCAGCCAGCCAGCTGATGGATTTATTTCCCAGCAGGGGCATCCATCACTTTGCTTGCCCTTTGGCTGACCTGCTCTAGAGATGGCAGCAGGGACTGCAGGCCTGAAGGGGAAGTCCGGGGTTTCACTCTGATGTGGGCTTGGCTGCATCAGCCCCTTATCAAGGGGTGATGGAGAGAGATGGTCAACCTCTGCTTCATCCAGTCATCAAGGCTCTGCCTGCTGCAGCCCACGCCAAACTCCAGCCCTTGTCCCTACCATCCTCTCCCTTATTTACTCAGTTTCTGCCCTGCAGTCTTGTCAGGCTTCCCCCTATCCCAGGACCTACTTTCTGCCTGTACATTCGTCCCATGGTCAGTTGCTTCTCCCCATCAAGGTGTCAACTTCAATGCCTCTTCTTTCAAGTCTCCCCTGACTGCCTTACATAAACAGCCTCTGCCAAGCTTACCACACTCCCCCGCCTTTTTTTCCTTTCGAGCATTTATGTAAGTTGGTGAAGTTATTTTGTTTACTCACTTGCTTTCTGTGTCCCCACTAGCACCTGAGCTCAGTGACAGCATGGACTGTGTCTTGTTTGTCTTATTCATTGTCTCTCCAGCTTCTAAAACAGTTACTGGCCTATCATAAGTGCTCAATGAGTATTGAGGGATCAGTGAGTTACATCCTGGGCTTCAGTTTCCATATTTGT